TAGACTAATATATGTGTGTGTAGATTGATTGTTAATAGATTAGTTATTCAGTAAAAACAGTTCTATAAAAAAAATATATAGAACTGTTTTTACTATACAAGTATTGATACTATATGGCAATCTATACTTTTTATGCTATCTGTTAGTACAGCATTCCAGTGAAAAGTAGACATGTTTACCCACTTCAAAGAGTCTGATACACTTGCAATTACATCTATTGACAGTTTTTAGACTGAATTTTCTTAAAAAAATTCTGATATCCTAAATCTCAAAAAAGCCAAACATTTCACTATACAGAGTCAGTGTAGTTAAGAACATTGCATCTGCTATTTCTAAACTACATGCACAGTTTATAGAATGCAGGTATCCCTTGATTAATGCAGTTAATTAATCCCTCAATTCTACCACATATATCAAAATTACATTAATTAAATATGATATCTAGGTTGAGTAAAGATGGCTGTCAAAGCCATGTTAATTAAAACTTCTCCCACGTATATAAANAGTCACAATTCTGTATTCCAACCAAAACATCAAGGTTATATAAATATACAAATAGTCACATAACATTGATGTTTTGTTATTTATCCATATTATTGTTAGTATAGTTTTTATATGTTATTGTCACTTATTTAATTTTCAAAAAGTAAATGGTTTTGGTTACTTTAACTAGCCATTTTTGGGTTTGAACTACCTGTAAATAATGGAGTCCAGAATTATTTCAAAATTATTCATTTATTTTAATGTGAATTTGTAATATGATATATTTTATATGGAATGCGCGATACATTCAAATTATTTTAAACCAAATCTGAAACCCGATATATATTATTAATGCCAAAGTGAGGCTTCTGAAAAGGTTAGGAAGTGTATACCATGTGAAAGAATGGGGAGGCGAAGTGATCATTTTTCGAAGGATAGAGGCTGCTATTCTTATCAGGTTGCAATTAGCCGATATAAATTAGGAATTGATTATGGTTAGTCGAGAAAATCTTATATTAAAAGTAGCACAGATAAATTTGCAGCAGAATAAGTTGGTTCCTGATGAAGTAGCCTTGTATATAGATAGTAAGGAACCTGATGTATTGTTGGTTCAAGAACCATATGTTTTTCGAGGTAAAGTTAGGGGTTTCGGACATAGAACAAAAGTTGTCCAAAGTTTTGATAAAACACCATGGGCAGCTATAATAGTTTGCAATGATTCCTGATTGGTAATGCATCTTTTGCAGTACTCCTCGGGTAATTGTGTTGTGGCACAATTTACTAGGGAGGAGTTAAGTATTTATTTGGTTAGTATGTATTTTTCCCCTAGCGGAGATATTTTGGAGTCAATAGCAGAATTAGATTGAGTATTGACGGCTTTATCTGGGTGTCGAGTTATAATAGGGGTTGATGCAAATTCAAAGTCCCCTTTATGGGGAAGTCCTATATTGGATACTCGTGGTGAGCATTTAATGGCAGTTTTAGGTCAATGGGGTTTTACTGTTTTGAATGAGCAAACTGATGTTCCAACGTTTTGTTCATCTAGAGGATCTTCCTTTGTGGATGTCGTGGCGTATTCTCCTTCGTTACAGGGATTAGTTGGTGAGTGTATTGTCACCCATGAATATACGGTATCGGATCATGCGATGATATCATATGTTGTAGATTTTGGAATGTCTTTAAAGATGGATGATTACAGTTTTTTCTTTACGAAAAAGAATGTTAATTGGGACATGTTTTCGAGTATAGTTTCATCATATTTAAATAGGAATAGGGTGCTTGCTTTACAGAATAGGACAGACGTTATACGATTGTGTAATGTGATTCATGGTGCATTTGATTGAGCTATTTTTGTGATGTCTCGCAGGGCAAAGAAGTGTTGCTTTAGGAAAAGGTGGTGGTCGTTAGAGCTTAATACTTTAAAGAAGAAGGTTTATCGATTAAGAAAGGCATTTCAGAGGGAAAATGATTTAATGCTAAAACAAATTAAATTGGAGGAATATCATGTTTGTTATAGAGATTATAAGAATAGGATCAGGATGGCTAAGCAGAGTAGCTGGAGGGATTTTGTAGAATCAACGGCTAATAAGGTTGTTTGGGGTTACATTATAAGATTCTTCGAGAGAAAGTTGCGATGAATAATGTATTGTGTGCGGTTCGGGGTAGGACAGGTTATGCTATTGATTGGAAGGAGGCTGTGAATAACATGTTTCAGGTATTGTTTCCAGATGATGATGAGGAGGGAGATACACAGGTTCAGGCTGATATACGACTACAGAATAAGAAGTACTGTAGTTATAGGAATTCTGAGTTGTTTTCTTTGGAGGAGCTAAGGTATGTTATAGGAAAGCTGAAAGGCAGAAAGGCTCCAGGATATGATAAAGTGACATATCTTATGGTGCGTAAGACTATTTCGGTAATAGGTAGGGAATTATTGCGATTATTTAATTGTTTATTTTTTGGGTATTTTCACTGGAAGTTAGCTAAAGTGGTAATTTTGTTAAAGCATATAGATCGTGATCGAGGTGACCCAAAATCTTATAGACCAGTGTGTTTATTATCAGTAATTGGTAAAATATTTGAACAATTGCTGAAGTTGAGAATTAGGTCCTTATTGCAGGATTATATTGATGATGGTCAGTACGGGTTTAGGGTTGGTCGATCGACAACGGATGCTGTGCGTCAGCTTTGGACGTGGGCACATGAATCTGAGAAAAATTATATGTTGGGTTTATTTTTGGATATATCAGGTGCGTTTGACAATATATGGTGGCCTGCTGTTATGCAGATTCTACGTGCTTTTGGCTGCCCTATGGATTTGTACCGACTGATGTCTGACTATTTTTCGAATAGAGTAGTGCGTTATTCCCATGGTTCAGTTTTTGAAGAAAAGATAGTATCTAAAGGGTGTCCTCAAGGCTCAGTGTTGGGCCCAGAGCTGTGGAACATCGTTTTTAATGATGTTTTGATTAAATTGCGGATAATAGGTTGCCGATTCATTGCATACGCAGATGATTTGGTTGTGGTAATTGAGGGTGATAGTCGTTTACAATTAGAGAATAATAGTAACGAGGTGATGCAAATGGTGGATAAATGGCTTCAGGAATTGAAACTGCAGCTTGCTCCGTCTAAGTCGGAGATGCTGCTTTTGAGGGGTGTCCTCAGTCCGGATTGCCCCCCCAGCGTGCGTGCTGGCACAGCTAGGATTCGTATGGCAAAGACAGTCCGATACCTAGGTGTTAGGTTGGGGACAGGTCTGTCTATAGTAGATCATATAGAGGAAGTTATTACAAGAGCTGTAGCACAGTTTGGGAGACTGCAGGGCCTGTGGGGGTCGGCAGGGTGGGGGCTGCGGTTTCCTGCCTTGTGGACGCTCTATAGGATCCTGTTTGTCTCAATTGTCACTTATGCCGCTGGTGTGTGGGGCGACGCGCTGAGGCCCCCTCATATAAGGAGGTTGTTGCAATCTCAACGTTTGGTATTATTGATATTGACACATGCATATCGCACCACCTCAACCATGGCTCTATAGGTGTTGGCAGGGGAATTGCCCTTGGATTTAGAAGTTAGATACATGTATTATAGGTATCTATTAAAAGCTAAGATTCCATTTAAATTGGGTACTTTAGAATTTCCTGGTGGATGTATTGGATCGGTAGACTCATCAATTAAAAGGTTGATTAGGACACAGTTGATAAAGGAATGGAATGATAGATGGGTGAATAGTGACAAGGGTAGGCAGACATCGGTGTACTTTCCGAGGGTATTGGATAGGGTCTGCATGCAGTGGGTTCAGCCTGACTACTATATGAGCCAAATCTTAACGCTTAACGGGACATGGTGATTTTTACAGTAAGTTGTATACTTTTAAGTTGGCGGATTCTGTATATTGTGAATGTGGTGTGGAGGATACACTTGATCATTTCATGTTTGTGTGTCCATGTCTGGCTGATGTACGTTCGACATGTGCTTATCTATCTGTGGACTATCAGAATGATGTTTCAAAACGTAGGATGGTTTCTGCTGAGCATATATATAAAAGTATTTATAGTACATTGAAATTAATGTTTTTACAGAGAAGTAATTTACGTCGGGTTCGATTTTAAAGAAGAGGATTGGTTTTAGTGATCATTTATGTCTGGTTTTATTATTTACATTTATATATTTTTACATGTTTTAACGTATATTGTTAATTCTCAGACTGTTAGTTGATTTCGGAAATTTTTCTACCGATAAGTCGTATGACAGGTGCGGTAGTTTTTAAAGGACTTTTGGGACGCTTGTATGCCAAATGACTGCCAGTTGAAATTGGGCTACTTTTCCACCATTATTATTAACTAACTTATATTATGTACCATAATTAATTAATTATGGCATCTAACGCTTGTCTCTAATGACAAATTATTTGGAAATTAATTAATAATATTAGCAGAGAAGTGGCCCAATTTAATCTGGCAGTCATTTTGCATATTATTTTAAACCATTGTTCTGGACTCCATTATTTACAGGTAGTTCAAACCTGAAGATGGCTAGTTAAAGTAACCAAAACCGTTTATTTTTTGAAAATTAAATAATGGCTTGGCAACTCTTTTGGTTTTCCTGATCATACTGTCCAGTTGGATAATCCTTTTATTTAATTTTTATTTTAATGATAATAATTTTCAAATTATAAATTTAATTTCAAAAATATTTTATCATATAAAATGATACAAAAATAATGGTATGGCTTGAAACAGATTATTTCTTAATGAAAAATTTGAAATAAATGTGATTTTAGTCAATGAAATGTATTTATGAAATTATCTTCAGAATAAATTCAAAATGATACAACTTATTGAATGTTGTATAAAAAATATAAATTTAATTAACTAATAAATTATTTTTTTTGACTAAAATATTATATAAAATTCAACTTTAAAATTAGTTTATAATAATTCACTAGTTTAAAAAAATTATTATTATATACTATTTTTATACTTTGAAATATTATATAAAATTAATAAAATTTTTAAATTTACCTTAGGAAACTGCCTGCCATCATAACAACTAACAATGCAATTGGTGATACCTAATCGATGTAAATTACCAACAATAGCTTTTGCTCTATCTTTATGAACATCATTTGCAAATATAACCCCAGTGTTTTTCATTACAGCAGCTAAAATAATTATATCAAATATTAATCATTTATTCACAAATTTAAATACAGACAACAATCACACAATCCTCTAAAATTTTTATTACCAATGTGTGTTGTTTTTCCACCTGGTGCTGCACATAAATCCAAAACTCTTTCATTCTCTTGTGGTGCAAGTGCCATTACAGGAAGAAGTGAAGCTGCACCTTGTAATATGTAATGGCCAGCTAAATATTCTGGCGTTGCACCTAAAATTAAAAGTATTTGGTATTTGTATTGATTATATTTTTAAATTCCATACATACATAAAATAAAAAAGAAAGAGAAAAACTGAAATTAGTAAATTTTAAAAATCAGAAATATAACAAAATACGTAAGTGGCATAAGAATATCAGTTTCTATCAGTCTCAGCAATATATATAGTCCGTTTCAAAATTATAAAAAAACCCAACATTTTTCAATAACAACATTAACTATAGTAATGTATTAATTATATTAGTATGTTGTTTACAACATCAATTTAAACATTTTCTGAAAGTTTTAGAGCAATCTGACAATTACAAAAAAAATTATCACAGATTTTCAATTTTTGAGTGTTTCAAAAATATAAACACAGGTGTATAAAATTAGTATAATAATTTTTTTATTAATTATTGGTTTAATTAGTTGTCACCAGAAGGGAGTATAACTCATTACTAAAAACATGGTGCCAATTTTAAATGGTTTTTTTGTGATTTAAACCAATGCCTTGTGGAAAAACACTAACAGAGTTGGAAATATGTGAAATTTACCAACAAAAAGGATCAGGACAATCTCTAAGACAAATTTTGGCAGCTATAAATAGATTCACATGTGTGAAAAATGTGTTAACTTAGGGTGAATATTATGGCAGAAATAAGTGATGTGGAAGGCCTAAACTCCTTACACCTAGAAATAAAAAAAAGGTTTTTCAGCTACTGACAGTCAACAAGTTGTCTGTCAGAGAAGCAGCATCAACATTGCCAACTGCAGTTTTACCAGCAACTATATGGAGATGTATGCATAATCATAAAAATGCCAAATTTCCAAAAATGGCTGCCAAACCAAAATTAACAAATTGCACAAAACAGCTAGATTAAAGTGAGCCAAAGACAAGATGACATGGAAAGAGGAGTGGAAACGAATAGTCTTTTCAGATGAAAAAAAGTGGAATTTGGATGGACCTGACAGTTATAGTTACTCTCGATCTAAATTCCGTTTTCTCCAAAATTGTGTTAAAAATAAGCTTTTACCACAGTATTTATAGAAGGTAGAATGAATTCAGAAAAGTATCAAGAACTGTTGTATCAAAATTTAATAACTTTTGGATTACTTATTGGGAGAGACAACTGGCAATTACAACAGGATAATGCTGTCATTCACACAAAGTCAACTAAAAATTGGTTTGCTGAAAAAAAATTAATGTAACTGATTGGCCATCATGTGATGGAGCCCTGATATGAACCCAATAGAAAATGTTTGGGGCATTATGAACTGTCTTGTTTATGGCCAAAACAGAAAATACAATACTGTAAATGAACTGAAATTAGCTATCATGGATTGTTTGAAAAATATTAAACAAGAACAATTTCAAAAACTAGTAAAATGTATGCCTGATAGAGTATTTGAACTAATTAAATCAAATGGTGGATTTACAAAATATTGAAACGTCACAAATCTTTTTTTTGTGCACAAGTGTTTATACTTTTGAAACAATCAAAAATTGAAAATCTGTGATAATTTTTTTTGTAATTGTCAGATTGCTCTAAAAATTTCAGAAAATGTTTAAATTGATGTTGTAAACAATATATTATTATAATAAATACATTACAATTGTTAATGTTTTTGTTACTGAAAAAAGTTGGGTATGTTTATAATTTTGAAATAGACTAATATATGTGTGTGTAGATTGATTGTTAATAGATTAGTTATTCAGTAAAAACAGTTCTATAAAAAAAATATATAGAACTGTTTTTACTATACAAGTATTGATACTATATGGCAATCTATACTTTTTATGCTATCTGTTAGTACAGCATTCCAGTGAAAAGTAGACATGTTTACCCACTTCAAAGAGTCTGATACACTTGCAATTACATCTATTGACAGTTTTTAGACTGAATTTTCTTAAAAAAAATTCTGATATCCTAAATCTCAAAAAAGCCAAACATTTCACTATACAGAGTCAGTGTAGTTAAGAACATTGCATCTGCTATTTCTAAACCACATGCACAGTTTATAGAATGCAGGTATCCCTTGATTAATGCAGTTAATTAATCCCTCAATTCTACCACATATATCAAAATTACATTAATTAAATATGATATCTAGGTTGAGTAAAGATGGCTGTCAAAGCCATGTTAATTAAAACTTCTCCCACGTATATAAAGGGATTGCCATAATTCATTCCACATATTAATCAAATCCCACATTAATCAAAACCATGTTAAGCAAGTGATACCTGTATAGTACTGTTGATTTACAATAATAAAATATATTTTTAAAATATGATTTTATTACTGTCTATATTATTTAAATTTCAATCCCAAAATTTCTCACAAATATCAAACCAGAAGATTGCACATGCAATTTGTCATTTTCTATTATGGCAAAAAACTGTGTACATGATAAAGCAGGTAGGACAAAAAACAAAGAGGACTACAAAAAAACACAGATTTTTGAAAGTGAGGCAATGTGAAAAAATATTCAAAGATGGTAACATTTTCTTCTTAACCACAATTTAATTTTAATATAATTTATATAAATGTATTACAACAGTTTTTTAAAAATACTAATGCAAAAAACAGGTATACCTGCAAGAATATCATCAATTTGAACTGAAAACTTGAACATTTGAAGAAAAAATGAAAAAATTATCATTACATAATAAGGGATAAAATCTAAAAATATTAACTTTTTGAAAACTTTTTGTTTATAACTTGACAGTTTTTTATTCTAGAAATTTTTAGATTTGAATAAATCATTTTAAAGATATGGAGAATTTTTAAACTTTGCAATTATGTAGTTTGTTGTATTCCATGTGTTCAAAAAAAAAAAATGAAAAAAAATAAACAAACAATGAAAAAGCACTTCAAAACTTTTTTAATAATATAAAAACTGTATATTTGAATAAAAAAATTGTAAAAAATAAAATAAACATTAAATAATCAATAATTGTTTAATAATCAAACATTAAATTTAACAATTTTTAATCTGGATTATATTATCATGCTAGTAATAAATATATAGTATGCTTGTTTAAAAACAAAATCATTCAAATAATCTGTATACAGATCTTACCTATTGGAACTTGGGAATCATAAATAACTAATCCGACTTTAGTCCATTTTCCAACTGGATCTAAATTTACTCCTCGATTTATTAAAGCCTAATAATCAAAACATAATTTTATGAACATGTGACATAACATAAAGACAATTTTTTATTACTAAAAATAATTGATATGTGAATTATGAGTTTGAAAATCATCTAATTTATTTTGTAATAGACTATATCCTTATATTCAGATAAATAATGAAAATTTCCTAAAGCAAAGGATGAAAAAGTACAGATGGCTTTTGAACATAATGTAAAGGTCCTAAAAGTGTAAATGAAAGTCAAAGATCCAAAAGTTGAACAACAGGACTGCATGCTAAAAATAGTAATTCCATTCCCAGAGAGCTAAGAAGAAAAGTTATAAAATCTCTTATTAAGATATTCAGATTTTCACAAAAAAAAAAAAAAATAAAATTTTTCTGTTTAAGTATGATATTAAGTGATTCTGAATCAAAAACTCTATGACAGTTGACATAAAGAACCAATTAATATACAAACAAACTGCTGAATTATTTGTCAGAGCAAGGCAAAGTCGAGTGACAACTAGACTTGACTTCATGCATTTCTTGTCAACATTATAACTCTAGAATGAGTTGTCCAATCTTGATGAAATTTTCTAGGAAAACTCATCATCACTCAATGATGAACTGATTAAAATTTCAACTCTCAAAAATGACCCATTTCTGTAGAACTGGAGATAGGGGTCAAAACAAAGGTCGCATTTTTCTACAGTATTAGAGGTCAAAGTGAGCTGACTAAGGCTACGTCCTACGTGGCAGAGTCTATTTATCGAGCCTATTTATCCAGAGATGAACTTGATCAGTTCCAAATGGCAGTAGAGCTATATCAAACAAACAAGCAAGTTAAACAAAGCAACAAAGACTACTTGCAGTCAACTTGGTGCCCTGTTGCTTATATAGCATCTAAAAACACTCCAGATATTACCTTGCCTTCGTCCAAAGATGACTCAGCTCTCGGTCTCTCCAAGTATTTGAATCTCTCAGTTAATGCCAGAATCATGCCGAGAGTCAACTTATGGGTGCAAGGAGGTCTCATCAATGGTTCACTAGGAACTATATGCTATATTATATATGCTCCTAATGCTTGCCCTCCAGCTCTTCCTGTGTTTATTTTAGTGGAATTCGATAGCTATCAGGCACCTTTCATCTTTGGTAATCTGTTTCCAATAATCCTCAAAGCATGCTCTTTGAATGATAGCAGTATATTGTGATCTCGTAGACAATTTCCCCTTACCTTACTTGATGATTATACATAAATCACAGGGATTAACTCTTCCAAAAATCAAAATAGATATAGGTAAAACAGAGATAGCTATCAGTCATACCCATGATGCATTCAGTTGAGTGAAAAAAAATAACTGACAGTATTTTTAAACAGTTACAGTAAACATCGCTATGAGTCAATCTGTAAGTCCAAGGCCCTTAGTGATAAACAGAATTTCATGATACGTTGGCATAGCAATTAATTAATGGCTTATTCTGACCTTATAGTTGTACCTTTAAATGATACAACAGAAATCAAATATATTGTTGAAAACGAATGATTCTTTCTTTGTTTTTTCCCTCGTAATCTAGAAAATAAAGATGCAAACAGCCTTGCTCCGACTACATGGTGATACAGCGTTACATAACTAGTTATTAAACTGTAACAAGACTAATTTAATGACTATATGTAAAGCAATTTGGCTATAGGTAGGCTGCTATATGGCAGTTTGTTTGGGCGTTAGTAATTGAATCAGATTGATGTATATGTCATTATGTAAAAAACTGAACAAACCTAAGCCCAATTTCCTTTTACATTAATATTGCATTATTGCAATGGCCTCAGATAATAATATCATCAGTCTTCTCCTGTAGCCAGAACAAGAGTTCAAAAATGTTCAATTGGCTCCAATACAAAAAAAAAATTATAATTTTTCTTTTTAGCTAATCAGTTGATAATTATCAACTGATTAGCTAAAAGACCATGAGGTTCAAATTTCAGACAGATAAGAGGGAGAAGAGATATGACTAGTGCTGGATTATTTAAGTCCTTTCTTGTTATTGTTGTGAGCCTCTGAGACAATATCAAATTGTCAACAAAACTTTCAGCAAATATCTAAAACTTTCTTTGTGATGTACCTCATTGATACTCCACTAAACTTTTTAACTGATTTGTATCAGTGTCAGGACATTCATAAATCACACATCCTAACTACATGTTAGAGACAGACAAATGACCAGCCAAATGGGTTAAGAAGTCAACTTACTGTTCTGGAAAACCAGAAACAAATTTGAATAGGTCAGAAAAAACTTAGAGTACAATCTAATACAATGTTTTTTCTCTTATGAATCTGTATATGCAGGGTGTAAGAATTTTATGTAAAATTAAATATTTTTAACTCTGATATTGAGCTTTATTACTTTCTATGAGGATGCATGCAACATTCACCTTACACTAAGATGTATCATTCTATTATAAACTGAACTTTAGACAAGCCAACCAATCAGACCTGACCATAATTTAAACACAAAACCTGACATTCTTTTTTATAAGGAACATGTTATAATTAAAAAAAAAAACATTTAATATTTAAAATATTAAAAGTTTGGATTAAACAGAAAACAAACAATAAAAATTAATTTTCACAAATGATTATGCTATATCAAAATCAAAACTGAAAACTGCCTTTGCACAATAGCTCAAAACTTTTGTTACCTGAAAATACACAAAAGTCTAAATTCAGCATACCACTACCACAAGCATTTTAGGTTATCAAATTTTTATGAAAGAGTAAACTTCCCGAAAGTTAAACTTGCTTCATCCTTAATTCTAAGCAGAGTTAATAAAATAATAATATGCTATTTCATTAATAAACAACAAAAATAAACAATGAAAAATTACTTGAGCAAGATCCCGCCTTCTGGTTTTTAATGTATTTGTTCTAATAGTAACAGGCCTCTGAACTTCATTTGCCTCCAAAACTTCTAATAACTAAATAAATAAAAATANTTATACTTTGAAATATTATATAAAATTAATAAAATTTTTAAATTTACCTTAGGAAACTGCCTGCCATCATAACAACTAACAATGCAATTGGTGATACCTAATCGATGTAAATTACCAACAATAGCTTTTGCTCTATCTTTATGAACATCATTTGCAAATATAACCCCAGTGTTTTTCATTATAGCAGCTAAAATAATTATATCAAATATTAATCATTTATTCACAAATTTAAATACAGACAACAATCGCACAATCCTCTAAAATTTTTATTACCAATGTGTGTTGTTTTTCCACCTGGTGCTGCACATAAATCCAAAACTCTTTCATTCTCTTGTGGTGCAAGTGCCATTACAGGAAGAAGTGAAGCTGCACCTTGTAATATGTAATGGCCAGCTAAATATTCTGGCGTTGCACCTAAAATTAAAAGTTTTTGGTATTTGTATTGATTATATTTTTAAATTCCATAAATACATAAAATAAAAAAGAAAGAGAAAAACTGAAATTAGTAAATTTTAAAAATCAGAAATATAACAAAATACGTAAGTGGCATAAGAATATCAGTTTCTATCAGTCTCAGCAATATATATAGTCCGTTTCAAAATTATAAAAAAACCCAACATTTTTCAATAACAACATTAACTATAGTAATGTATTAATTATATTAGTATGTTGTTTACAACATCAATTTAAACATTTTCTGAAAGTTTTAGAGCAATCTGACAATTACAAAAAAAATTATCACAGATTTTCAATTTTTGAGTGTTTCAAAAATATAAACACAGGTGTATAAAATTAGTATAATAATTTTTTTATTAATTATTGGTTTAATTAGTTGTCACCAGAAGGGAGTATAACTCATTACTAAAAACATGGTGCCAATTTTAAATGGTTTTTTTGTGATTTAAACCAATGCCTTGTGGAAAAACACTAACAGAGTTGGAAATATGTGAAATTTACCAACAAAAAGGATCAGGACAATCTCTAAGACAAATTTTGGCAGCTATAAATAGATTCACATGTGTGAAAAATGTGTTAACTTAGGGTGAATATTATGGCAGAAATAAGTGATGTGGAAGGCCTAAACTCCTTACACCTAGAAATAAAAAAAAGGTTTTTCAGCTACTGACAGTCAACAAGTTGTCTGTCAGAGAAGCAGCATCAACATTGCCAACTGCAGTTTTACCAGCAACTATATGGAGATGTATGCATAATCATAAAAATGCCAAATTTCCAAAAATGGCTGCCAAACCAAAATTAACACAATTGCACAAAACAGCTAGATTAAAGTGAGCCAAAGACAAAATGACATGGAAAGAGGAGTGGAAATGAATAGTCTTTTCAGATGAAAAAAAGTGGAATTTGGATGGACCTGACAGTTATAGTTACTCTCGATCTAAATTCCGTTTTCTCCAAAATTGTGTTAAAAATAAGCTTTTACCACAGTATTTATAGAAGGTAGAATGAATTCAGAAAAGTATCAAGAACTGTTGTATCAAAATTTAATAACTTTTGGATTACTTATTGGGAGAGACAACTGGCAATTACAACAGGATAATGCTGTCATTCACACAAAGTCAACTAAAAATTGGTTTGCTGAAAAAAAATTAATGTAACTGATTGGCCATCATGTGATGGAGCCCTGATATGAACCCAATAGAAAATGTTTGGGGCATTATGAACTGTCTTGTTTATGGCCAAAACAGAAAATACAATACTGTAAATGAACTGAAATTAGCTATCATGGATTGTTTGAAAAATATTAAACAAGAACAATTTCAAAAACTAGTAAAATGTATGCCTGATAGAGTATTTGAACTAATTAAATCAAATGGTGGATTTACAAAATATTGAAATGTCACAAATCTTTTTTTTGTGCACAAGTGTTTATACTTTTGAAACAATCAAAAATTGAAAATCTGTGATAATTTTTTTTGTAATTGTCAGATTGCTCTAAAAATTTCAGAAAATGTTTAAATTGATGTTGTAAACAATATATTATTATAATAAATACATTACAATTGTTAATGTTTTTGTTACTGAAAAAAGTTGGGTATGTTTATAATTTTGAAATAGACTAATATATGTGTGTGTAGATTGATTGTTAATAGATTAGTTATTCAGTAAAAACAGTTCTATAAAAAAAATATATAGAACTGTTTTTACTATACAAGTATTGATACTATATGGCAATCTATACTTTTTATGCTATCTGTTAGTACAGCATTCCAGTGAAAAGTAGACATGTTTACCCACTTCAAAGAGTCTGATACACTTGCAATTACATCTATTGACAGTTTTTAGACTGAATTTTCTTAAAAAAAATTCTGATATCCTAAATCTCAAAAAAGCCAAACATTTCACTATACAGAGTCAGTGTAGTTAAGAACATTGCATCTGCTATTTCTAAACCACATGCACAGTTTATAGAATGCAGGTATCCCTTGATTAATGCAGTTAATTAATCCCTCAATTCTACCACATATATCAAAATTACATTAATTAAATATGATATCTAGGTTGAGTAAAGATGGCTGTCAAAGCCATGTTAATTAAAACTTCTCCCACGTATATAAAAGGATTGCCATAATTCATTCCACATATTAATCAAATCCCACATTAATCAAAACCATGTTAAGCAAGTGATACCTGTATAGTACTGTTGATTTACAATAATAAAATATATTTTTAAAATATGATTTTATTACTGTCTATATTATTTAAATTTCAATCCCAAAATTTCTCACAAATATCAAACCAGAAGATTGCACACGCAATTTGTCATTTTCTATTATGGCAAAAAACTGTGTACATGATAAAGCAGGTAGGACAAAAAACAAAGAGGACTACAAAAAAACATAGATTTTTGAAAGTGAGGCAATGTGAAAAAATATTCAAAGATGGTAACATTTTCTTCTTAACCACAATTTAATTTTAATAATTTATATAAATGTATTACAACAGTTTTTTAAAAATACTAATGCAAAAAACAGGTATACCTGCAAGAATATCATCAATTTGAACTGAAAACTTGAACATTTGAAGAAAAAATGAAAAAATTATCATTACATAATAAGGGATAAAATCTAAAAATATTAACTTTTTGAAAACTTTTTGTTTATAACTTGACAGTTTTTTATTCTAGAAATTTTTAGATTTGAATAAATCATTTTAAAGATATGGAGAATTTTTAAACTTTGCAATTATGTAGTTTGTTGTATTCCATGTGTTCAAAAAAAAAAAACGAAAAAAAATAAACAAACAATGAAAAAGCACTTCAAAACTTTTTTAATAATATAAAAACTGTATATTTGAATAAAAAAATTGTAAAAAATAAAATAAACATTAAATAATCAATAATTGTTTAATAATCAAACATTAAATTTAACAATTTTTAATCTGGATTATATTATCATGCTAGTAATAAATATACAGTATGCTTGTTTAAAAATAAAATCATTCAAATAATCTGTATACAGATCTTACCTATTGGAACTTGGGAATCATAAATAACTAATCCGACTTTAGTCCATTTTCCAACTGGATCTAAATTTACTCCTCGATTTATTAAAGCCTAATAATCAAAACATAATTTTATGAACATGTGACATAACATAAAGATAATTTTTTATTACTAAAAATAATTGATATGTGAATTATGAGTTTGAAAATCATCTAAATTATTTTGTAATAGACTATATCTTTATATTCAGATAAATAATGAAAATTTCCTA